TGCTGGATCCCTCTGCACTACCACTGGGTCCACTGCTGGACACCATACCATTCGCAGAATAGGACAAAGGAAGAAGTTGCAGTTCTTACATCTTACCCTTGATGAAGTGTTCTCTCCACTGCATAAGAACAGAGCAAAAAAAATATTCTCCTGCTTAAACTTTTTGTTAAGATGAATAAATACAAATTAAGTTATGTGTTTGCAGAAAGGCCAAGTGGGCATGTGTTGCTGTGATATTCATCCATATGATATGCATGCTGATGGCCATTGTATACTCTTCTTGGAAAAATAAAAGCCACATGTTTTCAATTAACCAAGAGAAGGAAAATAATTGTTCAACAACAGCATAAATAAATTAAGCCTGTGTCAAGCTACGTTCTGCTGCCTATTTTGTCACCAAATTTGTATGACTGACCTGCAAGAGGGAACACAGGCTAGCTGACAGCATAAATGTTTGTCAAAATAAACTGAAATTAAACTATACTTTATTTATACTAAATGAAAAAAATGTACCTTGGAGTAGAGGGCTACAAAATGACTAATCAGCCTGCATGGTGTTGTTGAATCCACCAGCAGCAAAATACACTCAGCTAACTTTTCGATCTTCTAGTCATGCCATTGCCAGCACTAGCTTTGCATGTTACAGTAGCACCGTGGGACGGTGGTAGGTAGGCGCTAGTGCCAGATTTTTGGAATGAGGAGAAAGGAAGATTTGGTGAACTAGAATCCATCCCTGCTATCCGTGCCAACATTTTGTTCTGCAAAAGAGTAACTATATCAGGAGAATTCTAGGGAAGGAAAGAGGAAATTAATAGGAGCAAAACACAATAAATTGGGAGGAATGCATCATTAGATTTTGAGTTATTTTATGGTCATATTTAAATTAATTTATGCATGTTTTAGGTTCAGGTACACACCTCAAACTCAAATACGGCTCCTTAAACTTGTTAAGGATAAACAGGTCCATACCCCTTTATGTAGAACTGACTAGATAAAATTTTATAAAAAACACCCTATCATTGTCATCTCATATTTCAATTTGAGATAAGATGGCGCGAAAGTGGAGCTCATGGCCAAATAGTAGGCAGTTACGAAAGCTCATTTGATTAGTGATTTAAGGCGTGTCCAGGCTTTTTAGTCAACACCCCGCCAGAAAGAATCAAAGCCCTCCAGGCGCCCACAACTCCAAATATTTGTCCCTAAGAGAATCAATCTCTCGAGAAGGGTTGGAGCATCCATGGACCGCACATTGATCGGGTGCACCACCTGGTGATCGCGCTATGGCTTTTGGTCCTTGAGCCCCATGTTTAGTAACGCCTTGAGCGCCTCGAAGTCGCGAGTGTGAATCGGATGTGGCGTTTGTTTTTATTTGGTAAATCACCGCGGCATCGATGACTAATTAGGCTCAAATGGTGAACACCCATGAAATACAATCAAACTATGCACGACGACACGCCGGCGAGGATCAACAGGGGTGGTGTACTCAGGATAGCGCTGAGTTTCTCGTCGGCGCGTGCAAGTTGATGTCGTAGCTCAGAACCTCTTTTTTGGCATAGTGACGTGGAATTTGCGGAAATTTAGATGGAGAGGTAAACATGCCAGAGTCCATCTATCGGTGGTAGTAGGCGTGGGTTCTTGAGGAAGCCGCCTAAATTGCGCCCGTGGAGCGTCCGCGTCGGCAATGCAGTCGGCTTCTCAGCCATCTTTCCTCCATCTCCACACCATGACGGTCATGGTCGAGCAAGGAGATGGGGCGACAAGCATTTAATATTGCATTGGGGCTCCAAATGATCCTCCTAAACGGCTCGCTGTGAGGCGAGGCCGAGATATTGCTCCTTTTTGCTTCTTTGCTAATTTGGAGGAGTGGTGGAGCCAACCAGGAATTGATTCCGACGGCGGGCGGATGGAGTACTTTTTATAAATTGTGCTCCAGAACACATAGTTGCTGCGCCGCCCATAGCCTGTGTGTTCACGTCCATGATTAGAACATAGATGGAGGAGCTCATAGCGAAGGGGTTGCGTGAATAGTCCGGGGTCCAAAGCAAAAGCTTGAAGAAGTTGCCCAGAGGCCTAAAGAAGACCGCTCCTTGCCCATAAACTAAGCAGAAATCCTGGAGGCGGCGGTGGTAAAATGCATACATGTGGCCTCTAGAATTTCAAAGAGGGAGGTGTATATTTATAAAATTTATCCTAGTCAGCTACATGAAGAGGCATGGAAGCGAACAATAACAAGATAATGAATGGATTTCAAGTTTGAGAGTTCGTGGACCTAAGTGGCACAGAGCTACAAGTTTAAGGGCCGCCAGTGTATTTAACTCTTAGATTTTTAAACTACGGACATGTACACAACTCAGACAAAAATTTACTAATTACCATGGCTGAAAAGAGAAATTAGATTACCACTATTAATACTAGTATTCCTACTGCTACAGACTCCATACCTACTACTAGTAGTTCAAGCATATTTAGTTGTAGCACTAGATGAAGCCAATAGGCACACAACTCATGTGAAAAAGCTGAAATGAACCATACATGATGCGTACTGAAAATCACTGAATGTGTGCATGACCTGAACAGGTTACTTATTTTAACTATGCGCCATCTACCTGAACACCCTCTTGGAACTTGAATTGTTCTTTTTTTTTAAAAGCAATAGCACAAATAAGAAAGAAGCTTAAATACAAGCCCATATCAGTGCATCAATATTTGTATTTTATCATCATATTTAAATTAATTTATCCTGTTTTCTTCAGGTACACACCTATCTGTGATCTAGATTCTAAAGGATATTTTGACCTATTGATCAAGGTATCTTCAAAATTCTTTCTATAATCTCCAGAACCTTTGTATTTTTCCTACAAATCATCAGAATTTCAATTTAAGATGGTCTGAAAGTGGAATCAGGAATAGTAGGATAGTTAGAAACCATTTGATTAGTGATTTCTGACCGTGTCCACAGTTTAGTACTCCCTCTGTCCCTGAAAGAATCAATTCCTAGCCCAAATATTTGTCCCTAAAAGAATCAATCTCTAGGGTTGGAGCATCCATCGACGCACATTAATCTACCTCGTGGTCGCTGCCACATTTAACAGTCCATCTATCTCACCCAACCATGGCTCTTTGCCTCCTAAATTCCTGAGCCTGCAGCCCTGCAATGATGGCACTCAGGTGCTTTTAATCCATCCTCTCCACACAGTGACGGTCATGGGAGCAAGGAGATGGGACGACAACATTTAATATTGCATTGGGGCTCCAAATGATGCTACTAAACGGCTCCTGTTAATGAGGGCCAGTATAGTCTTTTCTCTTCTTTGCTAATTTGTCCTAAAGTGGCTAGGAATTGATTCTTTCAGGGACAGAGGGAGTACTTTTTATAAATTGTGCTCCGAACACATAGTTGAATCCAGAATAGCAGTACAGGCATTTAGAACATAGATGGAGGAACACATAGTTGCATCTGGAATAGTCCACACAAACAAAAGCAAAAGACAGCTGCCGGAGACTAAAGAAGACCTAGAACTTCTTGGCCATAAACTAATCAGAAATCACACGCAGGTAAAATGCATACATTTGACTACATTTCAACCAACCAAGAATATATATTGCATATAAATTGTAATCAACTAGCAGCATATGAGCATGCTTTGAAGGGAACAATCACAGATAATGAATCATCAAGATCAGCAAACCTAATCCACATACCGGCGCATAGCACATCCAGCTAGCCATATCTTAATTAACAGATAATTTTAGTACAAGCGAGTGGCAAAAATAAACAAGAATTGGAGGGTGGCCACATGTTTACTTGCACGAGCACATATGGGTAGCCTGATCTAGAAAGTACCTGATGGATAGAAGACAGATGGAAATTGCAGGGGCGGTGGTCGCCGTGGAAGGGAGCATGTGCCGGTGCCGCTGTCGGAGCTTGGAGGGAGGGGGTACAGTTGTCCAGAACTTTCAGTTTGCACAGACCAAGAGCCAAATTTTAGTTTGGGGGAAATCAGAGTGAAAGAGAGAGAGGGCAGGAGTTGGCTGACCGAAGCATAGTGATGATCAACAGCAGCGTCCCGGTGGTGATGTGGATTGAGCGAGGCTTAAGCTGCTGATAAGAAAGGGGGCAATTTACTGAATATATTGTGTTACATTAGTATTCATGCATGTTTAGCTTAGTCCCTCCTGATAAGAAATAGAAATTATGTGACATGTTGCTTAACTAAGTCTAATAGTTGTTGCCCAATGGATGAGGATGACCAAACGTCAACAGTTGAACACAGATGATTGAAGCTCTTAATTTATAACAATAGGATAAATATGCTACTTCGCTGAACTAGAGATCAGAAAGATGGACAACAACTACACAATCAAAAATCTGGAGTACCTTTTGATGGTGAGCTCAAGTGATAAAATTCAAAGATGCCAGTCCATATAGACCTTGGGTAATTTTACCTAAACCTGCCCCCAGGATCCACTGAAATATATGTGAGGTTCCACTTCCTCCCTGGGTAATTTTGTATTTCTGCAAACACCAAAGTACCAAACAGATGATAAAGTGAAGACATAGTATTATCACCAAAAAAAATACACAATAATAAAATTAACACAACACCTAACCTGAATTAGCTGTTTAAGGAAAATCACATATTCAACATATCTAGAGATGGATCCATGGATCCCTCAGTGGAGGAACACAACAATGTAAGGCATCACAAGCACTACTCAGAAAAGATACCAATAGTTTTGTACCAACCATATTGGTCAAATGCTCAAATTCCTTTACATTGCTGAGTTTCAGTGGGGTTACAATCACTAGCAGCACTACACACGGGTTCAGGATCTACAGCTAGTAGCTCAACCCCTCTAAAAGGCACTTCCTTTCTGCATTTTCTTATCATGTTCAGCCTTCTAATTGCATCCTTCATCCGTCTTTCAAGATTTTCAAGCTGCTTAAACGCCGGGATAAGACCCCTTTCTTCTATATCCTCCAGTAGTTCCTCTCCATTCTACATTCTCCCTGTTGAATACATAGCTCCAGTGAGTGTGATATAGGTAGTAACATTCGGCCAAAGACCCTTAGATTTCATCTCTCCATAAAGATCTAGTGCATCAGAGATATGCTTGTCTTTGCATAAACCAGTAATTAGAACATTATAACTGACAACATCAACCTTCAATCTACACAACTCCATCAGCCTCTTCAAGTGCAAAGCATCAGCAATCTTGGATTCTTTGCAAAGAATGTGCATTAGAGTAGTGAAAGTAGCAACAGTTGGTACCATTCCTGAACGCATCATACTACTGAAAACTATGACTGCCTCCTCAAGTTTTCCACATCTACAAAGTCCTCTAATAATTGAGCTCTCAGCAACTTCAGCAGGCACAATGCCAATAGCTTTCATTTCTTCTTTTAGCCTGAACGCTCTATCAATCTCACCAACCCGACATTTTGCGTTGACCAATGCAATATAGTGTGTATGGTTTGGTTGAAGCCCTACTTGTAACATCTCATGTAAAACTTCATGACTCTGGTCCAAGTAATGTTTTCTGATCAATCCATTTATCATGGCACTAAAAGTTTTACTGCTGGGTGACATATGTAAACACTTCATACAATTGAAAAGTTGTAGTGCATTATGCATCTTGGATTTCTCACTGAAAGCTGTAATCAGTATATCGAAAACTAACCTATCAGGGAAAATGCCTTCTAAGACCATCTTCTCCAAGAACTTAACTGCAATGTCAATCAACCCACACTCAGAAAGCCCAAGAATGAGCAAGCGATATGTAACATTGTCTGGCCTGATTCCTTTCCTCACCATATATTTGTACAGATATAAGGACTTTGAAAATTGTCCCCTCTTGACATACCCATGCATAAGTATGTTATAGCTAGCAGAGTTTGGATAAACCTCATTCTGATACATATCAGACATCATCCTTTTTATAGTATTCACGTTTCCACCCTGGAGGTACCCATTCATCAATGAATTATAGGCAATACAATCTGCATACAGGCCTTCCTTGCATATGATCTCCTGGAAAACATAAGAAGCAGCCTTCACTTGGCCTTCATTGATCAACCCATTCAGCAAGCAGGTATATGCAACAGTATCAGGGACTACTACTTTCTCCAACATCATCTGCAACATGACTAACGCAGGCAAAATCTTACCTTTCCTGCAAAAACCACTGAGAAGAATGGTGTAGGTATGGATATCAGGTAAACAGTTGTTTTTTACCATTTTCTCGCATAGATCCAAAGCTTCATCAAGGGTTCCATATTTGCAAATCCCAAGAAGTAGTGCATTGAAAGTTTTCTCATCAATAGCAGAAGGTATGTCAAGAAGACAGAACATAAACTGCTTTGCTTGTACCAAGTGGCCCCCTTGACATAATCCTCTAAGCAAATTCTGATATGTGCAAACATTTGGAGAATGGCCATATCTAACCATATCATCATAAACTGAAAATGCCTCAACTATGTTACCTCTGTGGCAATAACAATCAATTATGCAGTTAAAGGAGACAGAATTGAATGATATATTCATCCTAGACATGTATTGTCTGAAGTGTTCAGCCTCTGTAATCATTCCCTCTCTATAGAAAGCACGTAATAATGCATTATGGATAACTGGATTGGCAACTAGCCCCTTCGATAAATGTCCACAAAATGCTTTAGTGCTTCCTTGACATAACCTGCCTTACAATAGTAACAAATCAGAGTTGTATATAGCACATCATTAGGTAAAATTCCACTTTTCTGCATCCTTGACAAAATTTCTTTTGTTTCATGCATCTTAGCCATCCTGCACATACCATTGATCAATGCTGAATAAGTGACGACATCTGGATCAATTCCATCCTCAAGCATACTCTTCAAAATTTGTTTAGCCTTGGAAATCTCACCCACTTGACAGAAACCATCAATGAGAATAGTACACATAGTCTTATTGATGGTTATACCTCTTGATTTCAGATCTTCCATAAGATCTAGAGCAGGTCCCAACATGGAAACTTTGCAGTAACCGTTCAACAAAGCACTATAAGTCAGTTCACTTGGCATGACATCAGTAATTTGCATAAACTTCAAAGTGTACAGAACACTTAGGGCCTTATCAATTCTCCTGTTCCGCAGTACCCATCAATCATTGTAGTGTTAAGTAGCTACACTTGGAACCAAAGTTTGTCTCAGCATATGATTAAATACATAAGAATAGAATATAGCATGATTTATCTTACCTTCAATAAAAACCCATTGATCAAAAGTATTATAGGTAAACATTCATCAGGTGTTAAGTCATCTTTCCTCATTCTTTTGAGGAAAAGGAAAGCGTTTTAAAACGCAGCCTCGAGTAAATAAGTAATAGTTAATGGCAAAATGGTAAGTAGCTGCCTCTCTTTATTCTACATAATTTATCTACATCATCAGGTGTTAAGATGTTGTAGGTATATATATCTGCCTGTATACTATCCCTCTCCATATCTTCTAGAACACACAGGGCAGCCTTAAATCTTCCCTTCTTAACATACCAATGTAGCATTGTATTATAAGTGACAGAATTAGATAGGCGACAGCTCTTCATCTTCTGAAGCATATCTTCAGCCTTTCTAAATTCTCCATTGGTGCATAGGGAATTCAGAAGAATATTGCAAGTGGTAACATCCAAAGGAAACTTACGGGCCAAACTCTCTCTCAAGAACAACCAAACATGCTTTGATTCCCCTTCCTCCACAAGAGCATTAAGGATGGTATTGCAAGAAACAGGTGAAGCCTTAAAGCCACAACCATCCATAAAGAGAACTGCCACAGCTGCGTCTAGCACTTTTCTTTCCTTGACATATGCTTTGACAAGGAGTTCAAAAACAACATGATTGGTGGAATCAAAACGTGAAAGGATCCACAACAGGGAGGTAAAAATAGCAGTGCAGGAGAAGCCCGTCACAGCAAGATGCTTCAACACTGACATTGCTTGCGAATGCATTTGAGCCTGGATGAGAATTGGAACAGCCATACAGTAAATGTAGGTAATTCGGTCTAAACCTGATCGCTCCACAATAGAACTCAGTATCTTCAAGGCCAATTCTCCATCAGACTTGCCAAGGCTCCCAAATTTGTAGGCCATGTGATTCAAGGTCTCCCACCGCGTCATAGTCTGAATGGTAATGATGCTACTATCAATTCCAAGTGCTGAAAGAAGGAACCAAATCAATGAAACAGAGATTTGATATGACCCAGAAAGAAGCATAGCACACAGGAAATCTGCTGGGACTTGGAGTTTTACTTCTAACTTCTAAGGAAATGCTACTTCAGTCTCTAGGATTGGCATCTGATACTGGAGTAGCACGCACTATCATATGTAATGTATGCACATTTCTCCAGTGAAATGTGGAGATAATCTTCAATTGAACTGATAGACAAACAGAGAACAACCATAACCAGAGTTTGACATGTTCATTATTACAGTAGTTAATCAAGTGCATTAAGGAATCCGTTTGCAACGGATGCTACAAATATGTGAAGAGAGAATCAAGATAGAAAACATGTGTGGAATGCACAACCAGCAGCATTCTCAAATCTTCAGATTTGCATGAATTAATGAGCACTTCTAGTAATTGCAGAAAGCATGAAGTCAGCGTAATTCTTACCTAATCCTTAGAATTAACGAACTGTACGGAACATAGAAATAATAACATGTACACAGGTTTGCTGACTGACTGTTCCTATCTGCTGATACTACGGTCAAGCAGTTTGCGTTTTCGCGGAGAATTTTACCTGGGGTGTTGTTGGAGCTGGCAGCGATACGGGGGCGTGCGGGCGGCCTAGCGCGGGAAGGGAGCCGCGAGGAGTAAGCCGCCACTTTGCACTCGACGATCCTGCGGCGATACGAGGAGTGCGCCAGCGACGAGAACGGCCGTGCCATTAGCGCAGCAGCAGCCTCGCTCGGCTGCTCGAGCTCGCGCCGCCGCTCTTAGGGTGTGTTTAGTTGGTGGGATGGAGGAGAATGGAATGGAGCGGCTCCAACCTTGGCGGTGTTTGGTTGAGGAACGGTGGAATGGACGCGCAGCCTGGGGCGGAGCCGCCGGAGGGCACGCGGCCTGGGGCGGGCGGAGCCTCGGCTGGTGGGCGCGCGGCCTGAGGCGGCCGAAGCTGCGGCCGGAGTTGCGCCAAGGGCGGGCGGGAGATGGCTAGTCGGCGGCGGCGGGATGGCTAGCCAGCGGCGGAGCCAAGGGCCCTGGGCGTGATGGCCGGGCGGCAGACTCGAGCAGGACTACAACCGGCAGCGCGGACGCGAGCACGGCCATGGTTTGAATGAAAGAACAGAGGAAGGAGAAGAACAGAAGAAGCCATGTTTGAATGACATGTGGACCTCATACTTAACGGGGTTAAAACATCTGTTATCTGATTTATCTCTTGGGTAGACCTGAGCATCTGTGGACCGGGCCGGAACGGAAAAAAAGCCTGGTTATTTTGTGCCAAAAAATTCTTGCTCATGACAGTCCCACTAGATAGGTCGGGTCTAATTTTTCAGGCCGGGTCTAGGCCTGGGCGGGTCGTCCGCGTATTATATAGTGTAAAATAGCAAAAAAAAAAAGTCTTTCGGACCAAGCTCTGGCCAAGAAAAAATTTTCTGAGTAGCAACATATGTGTTCAGGCCCTGTCTAGTATGGTTTATGGGCGGGCTAAGATCCATTGGGCTCGGCCCAGCCCGTCAGGATTGGTTGGGCCAAGCTGAATTTGCTCAGGTCCATTCATTGGTAGTGCTAACGTCCGGATGTCCAGTCGAACGCACGCGAGCCTACACTCCATCTCCGCGCATGCATTTCGCAAGCCCACGCGGGGGGGGGTTCAAAAAACAGCGTCTTTGGGACCGCTCGCGCCCTCTCCGCTTTTACGTGCATTGCAATATGTGCAACACCAATCTACTTTTGCAATATCCCGATAAAACACTTGCAACATACGTCCGAAAAAGCTGAAACACATGCAAATATACGTCTGAAACATTTGCAAAATACTTGAAAGCCATTGTAAGCATATACAACATCCAGATAAAACACTTGCAATATATTTGTGAAACATATGTAACATCTAGATAAAAACACTTACAACTTACATAGATGAAAAAAAACTAATAAAACATTTTGAACAAACTCTTGTAACATACGTATATAGGCATGGCAACATATGCAACATCCCAATCTACTTTTGCAACATCCATATGAAACACTTGTAACGTACATATGAAACATCTAAAACACTTGAAACATACTTTTACAATATGTGCATGCGCCAACATCTCCTTGTTGCTTGGGAGATGGAGGCTCGTCAACATGTGGAGTGCACCGGTGTAGAACTTGTCGGTGGCGTGGAGCTCATCACTACGGTGGAGAAGGCCACGGTAGGTCCGATGTAGAATGCCGCTCTGGTGGAGCTGCCGCGAGCTGTCACTGCTCCCGCACGTTGGAAAAGGCCGTGGCAGACAGGAGGTGCGATAGAGATATATGAAGGCGGGAGGGCGTGCTCGGACGTGGTGGAGATGCCGACCGGTGGGATCAAGGACGCCGTTGAGAATGCCAAGGCGGCACAGCGTAGTGCGGTTGCGGTGAAGCACGGTTGTGACGCTGCAGTGGAGAGCCTTCTGAATAATAGAGACAGCAGGCTATGGTTAGAGGCGAGTGGACGAGAGAATATAACTGTTGGGTCGTTGGGCTGGTGTCGCGGCCCGCGAACGGGAACGTCCGGACGATCGAACATCCTGACCATAGAAATTCCGTTATGTCATCCCTCCAAACAAACACGTAGTCAGGTAGACCTGGCTTTAGTCCAAGTGCCAAGTTTGATAATGACAAAGTAACGAATCCTTTTTGAAAGATGGCAAATAAGCGAAGCTTGCGTTTCGTGATGACAAAATTCCAATTTTCTCCGCTTTGATGCATACTTGTTTGGTTTGTGCAACCGATCATGCATGAACGACATTAGGGATTAATCTGGTACTAACTCGTGATGATTAGTAAGGTTCTGGTCGACTCCGACTAAATAAAGAGTAAAGACTGTATACAATACGCCAGTCCGGATCTTTCAGCTCCTCCGTCCAGCGAGCAGAGAAGCCAGATACCTCCCCGTCTTCCTGTCCGGACGCACCAGCCTACCTCGCCGCCGGAGACATGAACCAGCCCGTGCAGAAGAACACCCTCTACGTCGGTAAGCCCACCATCTCTTCCTCTTCCTCCTCCTCCTCCTCCTCCCCTTCCTCGGGCGCGCGCTCCCTTGTCCAATCTCCCACCTTCTTGGCCGCGCGTGTCACCTGCTCGACGAAATTCCTCAGCGAGAATACTCGCGGTGGCCACGACAGGACCTTGTACTTCCTTGGTCGTGGGTCGTCCAACGGACGAATTCCCCGTGCGCGTGGACTAATCCGAGCTTCCTCGACCTTGATTGATGGGTGCAGGTGGGCTGGCGGAGGAGGTGGACGAGAAGATCCTGCACGCCGCGTTCGTGCCCTTCGGCGAGGTCAAGGACGTCAAGACGCCGCTCGACCAGTCCACGCAGAAGCACCGCTCCTTCGGCTTCGTCACCTTCCTCGAGCGCGAGGACGCCGCCGCCGCCATGGACAACATGGACGGCGCCGAGCTCTTCGGCCGCGTGCTCACCGTCAACTACGCCTTCCCCGAGCGCATCAAGGGAGGGGAGCAGGGATGGGCTGCCCAGCCAAGTGAGCCTTCCGTTTCCTCTCTCTCCCTGTCTTTCTTTTTGCTTCTTCATTTGGTCGTGCCCTGCCTTAGCAGCTGCTCGATTGCTTGTTTTGGTTGCCTGACTAACTTATTAGGGCAAGGACTGCCATAACTCTTCACAAAAAAATTGTTTGTAATTCGGTTCAAAAGCATGGTTGGAACATTAAAGGTGAGGAAATTGCTTATGATTTTTAGGTAATATAAATACTAGGGTCGCATTAGTACATTTATAGCTGTGTTCCTGGGGGAAAAGTGAGAATGCATAAGATTGGAACTGAAAAGTGAGAATGCATAAAATTGGAACTCGCAGTAGTTATCTGGGGGAAAATGTGGATGTTTGTGAAAAGTGAATGCTGAAATAAATGCTCCATCACGTATATACCAGCACGGTTTTCTACAGATTTTTGGATGTTATTCATATATGCGGCCATTTCTGTCTTCAACTATAACAAAATCTCTTTCTAAATGCGCAAGCAAGATATATACCAGTACAGTTCTACAGATTTTTGGATGTTATCATACGTGGCAACTTTTGTCTCCGACTATAACAAAATCTCTTCCTAAATGCACAAGCAAGATGGATCCTTGTGCTTGAACTCAATTGTTCAAATGTCAACAAGTTGTGGTTGATGGCTGTTCTTTGTGTATAAGATCTTGATTTGTTGATTTTAAGCATTCTTTTATAAAGCTTTGTACTTAGAAGCAATGAACCGATAAGCAGTTGTTTGTGCTTTGTAACTTTTAGGGCCTTGTAGTTATCAGAATTGGTTTTGCGGTAAAAACCCTACTTGGTTTGGTTCAAACCACTGTGTTAAAATCTCTGTTATGGTCTGCAATATTCCATTTTTTCCAGTTCACATCTTATGGCCAGCATACAGAAGGAAAGAAATACTTCTGTGCTATATGATAATTAGGAAGATAGTTCAGAGTTGTGAGGTTATATCTTCATTACATTACAGTGTGCTAATAGTAATGCAGTTCATGGTTTTCATGGTGCGGCAGTTCATTGATGTTCTCTAGTAATCCAATCAGCTTAGGTTTTTTTGCTTTTCAAAGGTACATAGAGAATGCACATAGAGAAAGGTACATAGATAAACAGTAGAGTAGCACCGAATACACAGAGAGAATGGAACCTAGTTATCTTCTTATCGTCCATCAGGGGTTAAGTTAATACACATACACATACATAATGCAGTTGCCATTGCCGCTGTTGTTCATCACCTTATCCTTCATTAGAGGTGAAGCTAGTAATAGGACCTATCCAACCACATAGGTTAGTTGACCAGCTGTTGAGCCAGCATGTTACCTTGATCAATAGCATTTGTTGGAACTGCTGAAGTGATTTTAGTAGATAATGGAAATTGTTTTGCATACGCTTATTTTTATTATTCAAGCTGCTTTATCAAATATAGACACCAATTTTTTTTTTTTTTTTTCAATCTGGAGACCCAGGATGGATTGGGGTAGGTTGTTCATGACATATTATCATCCTCCCTATCCTAATCTAAGCTGTCTCAAGGTAAGGACAGCTGTTTTACTGCCAGGGCTCCATTGTCTGAACCTTAACTTAGGTGTAGTTCAAATTACATGAAGTGACGCTCTGGATTGCAATATCGCTAGGGTGGTTTGCTTGATCAACTGGAAAATAGTCTGATACAGAGCCAGGTCTGGTTCTGTTTGCCTGAAGGATCATTAGTGGAAAACTCCGGGGAAAATGTGTTTTTAATATGTCTCAATGGTTTACTGTAATACTGTCTAGAGGATTGAACTTGCAACCTCACCCGTCCATGCCCTAGCGCCCGCATTGGGTGACAACCATCTGAGCAATGAATTGTTACCACTGTTCTTATTTGGGTGACAATCCCGTCCGTGCTTTGAGGTATATTTAGGTTAGTACAATTGCATATAAATAAAACATTTACAGGTTTCAAATTTAAAAGTATTTTTAACTATAATATTTTGAACTCCTACTTTTACCATTGGTCCACATGTTGTACCATTTTTTTTTGAACCTAAAATACAGCAGGAGAGGCCCCCACTGTAAAGTTTTATTTAAAATTAAGCGAAGCCCAACAACTATAATTTGGCAGTAACTATAATGTCACCATTCACCGGATGAACCAATCATCTCTACAGGGCCAGTAACTATAATTTGGCACCAAGGTTCTGACCTGACCTGATGCCTATATCA